AAATATTTTGAATGTGCAATTTTTGCACCTAGAGCAGGAGGGGCTTTTACTTTACATATCGTGCATGATAATCAATTGAAAAAAATATGCAAAACTAGAGTTCCACGATCTCATACCTTCGCCAAATGATGTTAGCCTTTATGACTAAGAAATAATAGATTAATCCCCCTGATTGTGCAAATAGGATCCTATATTGCATCAATTATATCTGCTGATCATATTCTATACCAGAAGACAGTCTTATCTTATCAATGCATGCCATTATAGCATGTCCTCATAAATTATGCAAATGAGGTCCTTATTTGAATAAGTTATGTTTAATTATGTTCACCTTCACATAACTTTCAAATATCCCAAGTATGAAATTCCAGACATTACCAATATGTAATTATAGCATTTTCTCACTTATTATGCAAATTAAGTCTTCATTTGCATAATCAATATCTTCCTGTATTTCTGACGTTCTGAATTACACATGTCACAAGCTTGAATAGTCCTATCATGGAATGCAGCTGATTTATAGAATTTCCTCATTAATTATGCAAATTACATTAATATTTGCATAATTGTAATATTATTATGTCATGCATCACTTCAGCTACCTACATGCCAAAACTCACGACGATCCATCAATCGGTTCTTGAATTATCCGCCTTTAAACAGTTTTCAACTAACACCCCTGCAATTCCAGAGCAAGCAGCTAGGGGGCCCAAGCACGTCACTTCTTCCCTATCACAAGAGCTACCTACCATCCAAATTTCGTCAGCCTAGCATGTCTAGATCACGAGATATCAAAACCGGAAGTTCAGCTGCAGTACCATAACAAACCGCTAGGGGGCCCAAAATCTAATCAGTTCCACGTCTCATCAAGACCTACCCACCTACCAAATATCAAGACAATCCATCCAGGCGTTCTCGAGTTATCGTGCTCACACACACACACACACACACACAGACACACGAACGCCTCTGAAAACATAACCTTCTTGGCGAAGGTAATAAAAGTCACTTTCTGTTTACAACTTTGATGTTCCAAAATCTGTGTCATCAGGAATTTCAGTGATTTCCTTACCCCTAGTGCTGTGTGCTGCCTCACCCTTCATGAACTAAGACAGAAGTAAAAGTTAGTAGCCAAATGGTTACTTCAGTGTGCTATGTACAGTTGGTCCTGACTTCTACTGGCAACATTGAAAAATCCTATTGTTTGTTACAGAGGGATGGTACTGTGATCCTGGAGCAGGTCAGCCCAGATGGACAGGAGCTGCCAGGGAGTCAGGGAAGACTGCAGAATCCAGGTGATGTTTACACTGTTAAGGGAGGTGTGTGTGTGTATGGGTGGGTCGGTGGGGGTGGGGGTAAGCTATGAAAAGAACTCGCGTTCATTTTTTAAAGGAACATTGCAGGAAAGAAATGACAGAGAATTTGCAGTGTAAAGATATGTAGTAGGCCAATTCTGGCACATCCAATATCACATCTTTGGACAGAATTTTGCGACCGGATCAATGTTGATCCATGCAGTTTTTGTGCAAAAATTTTAGTGAAATGATGTAAAATGATAATAGAAAATTAGCTACAAAAGTTTCACCTTTGAACTTTGCATCTGTTAAATCAAACCATCTGTTTGAAAAAAAGTTGGAGAATTTGAAATTCTAATGATGTTCTTTGTCAACAGGACATGCCATTGAGTGTAGCTGGTTCTTACTCCAGTATGCTGTTAAGCACAATCGACCCGACCTGAAGAAAACTGCAATCAATAATTTTCTCCTTCAACCCTTTGAGTCCGGCTGGGACAACAAACACGGCGGGCTGTTCTACTTCCTGGACGTTGACGGCTTCTCGCCGACCCAGCTGGAGTGGAACATGAAGCTCTGGTGGCCCCACAACGAGGCTCTTATTGCTTTCCTGGTCGCGTACAAGGAGACGAAAGATGAAAAGATGCTGGAGAAATTTGCCCAAGTCTTTGACTACGCTTTCTCACATGTAGGTCAGAGTTTGAAGACATCGTGGTTTTTGTTTAATGCAATACATGTAATTAGAATTACAGTATCCTTTCAACATGTTATGTATGTGTTATAACCTAATTGTCGAAACACTCAACAATCATATAAAGATTAAGTGCTATTATTCTATATTGTTCTTTCATCATTCTGTCCTCTAGTTTGTTGACCCTGACCATGGAGAGTGGTACGGGTACCTGAGTCAGCAGGGGGAAGTCACACAGAGGTTCAAGGGCGGGCCCTTCAAAGGTAAGCAAAAAGAAATAGAACACTTGACAATTCATTTTTTTGCTTGTTCATTCATGCATCTTTTGTTCATTCGTTCCTTCCATCCTTACTGCGTTCCTCCCTCCCCTCCCATCATCTTCAGTAGTTTGAAATGATGTTGTTTTTGCAGGATGTTTCCACGTGCCCAGGTGCTTATACATGTGCACTCAAATACTCAGGGAACTGCTGACAGCATGAGGAGCTGAAACACACAAGTCATATTCATGGATATACATACAGTATGTATATATATATATGTCAGGGTAGAGATTGCAATCTGTCTAAATCACTGATTCTGCCAGTAGAGATCCTGATTGGAGTCTTTGTCGACAGAAACTGTGATCAAGATGCTGTTATACACAAATCCAAAATTTGAAGTCAATCCATTGATCAAAGTGACATGAATCCAAGTTGAAAAGTAAAATGACTGTCTTTTAAGCTAATGTCTTAAGGCTTGCAGACTCCAATATGGATCTCTACCATTAAAATTGCAAATTCTAGTCTCTACCCTGACATATTTGTACTATTAGTATATAACCATTTCTCAATAGTACAACGTACTTCCAATATGTGGAGATACTCAATCAATCAGGGATGACCTTGATGTCCAGATAACTTCTCGTGCCTTGATCGAGGTATTAAAGATTTGCCAAATAAGAGAAATCTTTGCATTTTACTTTTAAGGCTATTTCTGCAATTATAAGTTCTTATTTTCACTTTTTTCACATAAGTTTCTGTAAAAGAAACAAAAAAGTTATGCATAAAAGTAGATTGGAAATAGTGGTGCTATTACTATTATTTGAAATAGTGGAAATTATTGGAAATAGTGGTGTATTTACTTTTCAGTCTTAAGATATACGTCTTCTCAACATATGTGAATTGTGGGACATAAAATGGTTAGTATGGTCAGAACTTCCAAATATGGTAATTTCATTTCCAGCCATTTACATGTTTTTAGTTGTGGAAGGTGATCTTCTGTTTCAATTGTTTTATGATGAGTAATAGCGATACTGGATAATGTTACTGTACAGAGGGAATTTGATCAACAATGCAAGTCACCTCATATGTTGCTATTACCATGACTCATCTGCACTAGGGAGCTTTTCTTGCCACAAATGTCAGGAAGTATCAGTGTGTGTAATTGTAGCTGCACCTTAAACTGAGGAATAACATGAATTTAAGTGCCAACTGTACATGTGTAATAATGGTATTAAGGAAACAGGTAACATAGGCCATTCCCTCTTATGGTTTCTGCTACCAATTTCTTTTTTACCATTCATTTTCTTTTTTCCTCATTATTTTCAACTGACCTCATTGACACAGTCTCCACCAGAATAACACCTCCAGTTCCAAAACAGTAAATGTTCGCCAAATAGGGAGAGTAATTGGCCAGGGGAGTTTAGCCACCATAGAATTTATTTGCCCATGCAGTAGGGGAAATTAAATTTACTGCTGACTTATTGGCCAATTAATCTTCCCTTTTTTGCCCAATTCTACAATCCGTATCCCCTAGAAAGGCCTGGTGGAGGCTGTCACATATCGGATATCTTGCCAGCAATGCCCATGGCTGGATCATGGCTTTCATAAAATTAATGTACTTAATGAATTGAGAGTCAGTGTATAGTTTGTAGTGATGTGAATTTACTACAAGTGATTACTACTAGAGTCCTATGTGATTTTGAGGACTTGTGCAATTTTGCCACCTGTAATGTGGAAATGTATGACTGTAACAGGTATGTATTGTAGACTGGAATCCAATCTTGTTAGCTAATGTGGTTAGCTTAGTTAACTTCCAAGTCCCTAACTCACTGTATGGAAGTGAACTACAATTACACAAGAAAATTTGGTGCTGTCAGTGGATTTTGTAGCAAACACATAGAAAGAACTCCCAGTTTAGCACATAATATTGATATGGTGACATTTAATGAACTTGTAGCAAAATATCACATACATATAGTTTTCTAACACACTATGTATTGTTTTCTATGGCCACAAATCTACTACATGTAGATGTACAACGATGTATAGACAAATACACATAAAGACCACTTTTCTCAATGGAAAACTAAAAAATGCCAACTTTTACCTGTATACACATTATAGTATAATGATTATACATACATGTATATTAAGAACTATCTTCTACTGGCTAATACACTTGGTGCAACTTGATTTCAAATGTTGTACCACCATTGAGGAAAGTTGGTGCATTTATCTAATGTATTATAAAACGTTAGATATCATTTTTGTCACCAGACAATAGAAATCCACACATTGCCTAAAGGTAAGCACACAAGTTGTAGTACAGACGATATGTTTAGGAAACCCTTAGTGTATAGAAACATGTACCCTGTGAGGACAGCCTCTGATGCAGGAAGTTTTAGGTGGGAAAAATCTTTACTATGACAATCTTTGAACAACATTCCATCAAAGAAAGAGGTAGATAAATTATATGTTCATTGCATCTAGCAATAGAATCATTTCTACGTAATAAATTAACAGGAATGAAAAATAAAGTATTGTATGTACCAGAATATTAAACCTTCTCCCCACTTAAGTAACCCTTTTGCACCTACTGGTAGTTTGCTCTGGGGCTAACCGTTAAGGCTACAATTATGCTATTTTTTTTTCTTGTGTTGGTGGGATGCACCTCAAAATTAAATTTCTTCTCATGTGGCCTGTTGTTTGTGTTGTCATGAGCAGGGAAATAAAAGCAACACCTCACTAACATGAAACAAGTGTGGGCTATGTGTGTTTTGTCTCCTTCATTTTGTAGTATGGTACTGTAAATGGAGCTATGTAAGTGGAGCTCCTCAGAGATCTAGTTTATGACACAAGGGAAGTTTGATTCCCACAAAGACATTTTTTTCTTCCGAGTAATGATACAAATACTGTGCAAGCCAACTTCTGATGGAGTCAGTGATTTGGCACTGTAGAAAAGCAAGCTTTCTCCCCAAAGTGAAAATTTGGCAACAAGCACCACTGCAATTTCTAGCTGGCCTGTTTTGTTGTACAACTTTTGGAAATTATCATTGACATAATGAACCTACAGCTGACCAATCAACAATAAGGACACAACGTACAGCTGACCCATCAACAGTCAGACACAACAATGAAATATAATAACAAATGTATTTGAACCTATACATACAATGTATTTTGTACTAACTACAGTCCTGCATCACCATCTACAGTTTATAGTGACTTACTAGCCTCCACCAGCCCTTCCCAAGGGGTTAGGGTGTTACAATTTGGCAAAAAATAGGGTCTGACTGGCCAGGGGAGTGGGTCCAACCATTTCCCCCTTGAAAAGAACTCTACGCCGCTGATCAATTATTCTCCCTATTTGACTAAATGTAACTGTTTTTTAACCCACATTGTTAATCTGGTCAACTAGCCAACTAACTACCGGTATATATCAGTGGTTAAGATTTAACGGCGAGTAATTGGAAATGTAGTTTTATTCCTTTAAAAGAAATAACAACCACAAATATATTTAAAACTGTTTTGATTTTCTGTCAATCCTTCTTTCCAATAACCATTGCTTTCGTAGCTGCCTGAGGCATTTGCTGTTTTAAGTACATTTCATTTATTTCCAAAATTGAAACTCTGAAATTTGTCAAATACAGCACAAACTGACACAAAATTTTAATCCTGAAAGTCAAGGGCATAAACTTTATATCAAAATACATTGAACAATTTGACCTTATCATAACACAATGTATAAAGATCAATCCTACTACTATTATGACAGGCATACAAATTTCTTCTAACATATCCTACACTTAATGGCAATTCACATTACAACTTATTTCACTACTTCACATGTATATACATGTATGTACCTTCACTGAACACATTTTCAAGACCTGTTCTTATTTTGTTGACTGTTTGGACCCAAGTCTAAAGGAATTTACAAAGTTCCCTCCATAATGCTGAACTGTACATGCAGAGCATATATCCAAGCTAAGCATGTACTTCTCTATAGAACAACTATACAGGTGTATAAAGTGGACACAATATCTATTGATACAAAATCGGATTCAAGATTCTCTCGACTACCACTTGTGGTATTGCAAGGTTAGGGCATGGAAAACCTGACACTGACGTGAAAAAACACTAATACTTGTAAGGAAACCTGAACGAAATGTCAGTTTGGTTTTTGTGGAATTACAAAAGATTTCTAAGAATCCTTGCAGCAGGTGTGTACACCTGGTTGCTATAGTAACTACACAGGACTAGCGGCTTCTTTTTTCCCTCCCTTGGAGAACACATTGGAGGGTAGTTTGGGGATGGAGCTGATGTGCCGCCCTTCCATTGCACTGTACACCAGGATGGCCAACACGATGAGGAACAGGAGGAACCCCAGCTTCAGCCAGAAGGAGAAGCGGCTCTTGGTTGGCTCCTGTGCAGCAGCGCCCTCTGGATGGAGGGGCTTTCTCTGCAGGTTGTCTTCTGAGTTCAGGTCCTCCTTGGTGGGAGGTGGGTATGCACGCTTTGTAGGCTGGAAAGGAAGGGTATAAATAAAAGTATTGTAAACATTTTAGCAATATCAGATATCTTCCTCAAAGCTTCTGCCAGGAGTGCTGCTTCTTGTCGATAGAAGCCAATGTAGGTGGCACTTTTGTGGCGAGAACACAATCCCAAACGTGGATAAGTTACATTGGCTACTTATAGCAACAGACATCAAAACACTGTGATACTAACATGTTGACAGGGACAAGATGAAGAAATAAACTATTGACAATTATTAGCTACCTTTGGTGGTAACCCTTGTGCCTCCTTGACGGGGGTCCCCCTTGTCTTCCGTGGGGAGTCCCGGAGGTCACGAGTGGTCAAAGGTCGATCTGCGGGCTGCTCCCGCGGTGCCGGTCGCCTTCTCACACCAGTCTGAGGTCTGGGATGCATGATGGGTAAGGAACACACTTTCAGCACAATTGTAGATAAACATATAAAACTTCTTGGTCTGTATCTGTACCTGTACAGCTGGTAGTGAAAGTAGTTATTGTGTGAATTGCCATCAAGAGGTTACAAGTTTGATTCCTTGCATTCATGGCAAGACGTTGTGTCCTTGGGAAAGGCACTTTACACATCTTTGCTCACTCCACCCAGGTGTAAAATGGGTGTCTGACTTTGGTTGGGGAGGTGGAGAGGGATGGGTTCTCACTTCCAATACCGTGCCCTAGACAGAATGAATTATCAACCCACTGCCCCTATGACCTCTACCTTTGGCTACTTTCTACAGAGTGTAGGATCCAGACTGTAATGTATTCAGTGCTCACCTGTCAGTGGACTGTTCCATCCTGGGGGAGGTCTGTGTGCTCGCCTGTACCTGCTCTTCCACATCTTCTTCTGAAATATCAAACATCGTAATATTGTCTTTAGTAAATCAACTTTACTGTGCATTTCATATTCAGGGCTTGAAATCCTTTTTACCTCCATGAAAAATGGAGGTATTGTTTTTGGCGTGTCTGTCTGTCTGTCTGTCTGTCTGTGTTTCCGCAACTTTGTAGTCAGAATAACTTCAGAACGCCTTTATGGATTGTGATATTTGGTATGATGGTAAGTCTTGGAAAGACAAAGGTCAAGGTCAAGTATGGGCCTCCTGGTGGATGACCTTGATACTGCAGCAGAACTTCCGGTTTTTGTATCTTTTGTCCTGAACATGCTATGGTCTTGACTTTTTGGTGACAGATAGCTTATCCTGTCAGGAATAAGCGGCGTAAGTTTGGTCCCCCTAGCAGCTTGTTCTGGAACTGCAGGTTAGTTTCTGGTAAAAACTTTCAAAGCCAATAAGTCCAGATTGGAACAACGTATTTTCATCATTTTTGGTGTGTAGGTAGCTGAGAGACAGTTGTACATGATCATATGCAAATTATGCAAATGAGGGGTTAATGTGCATAATTAATGAGGAAATTCTATAATTACAGTGTTTTATATAATGGTACTGCTATACATGTAATCTATTCAATCTGTGGCAGGCAGAACATCAACAGATACCAATTATGCAAATGGTGACCTAATTTGCATAATTAATGTGAACATTTTATGACTCCTTATTGGTGAATGATGGGAATTTTATACCTCGTGACATGTATAAGTTACTTAAAAGGTTAGCACCACTATGCATATATTATGTTAATGTAGAGGTTATTTGCATAATTTATGAGGACATGTTGAAATGAAGTATGAAAAAGCAAGCCCATATTTCATGGAGGTATGAGATCTCAGAACTCTTGTTTTTTTCTGCACACCTGCCCTGCCATGTCAACTTTTTACACGGTTAATCTTGTTGAAACCTTGTGCAGTGATCTTACCTTCCTCCTCGCTGTCACTGTACTGGTCAGACTCGCTCTGAGACCCGTTCTGCTGGCCTGTACCGTCCGCCAACAGTTTCTCCAACTTCCGCTCGTACACACGACGGGTGGTCGCTGTGGAGATGGGAAAAACGTAAGTTGTTCTCGTCTTAAAAATCAGTGAAACTTTCTGGCTACCATCAGGACCAAAGAGGGGTAAGTATCGTGGCATACTACAACTGCAAATTTATTTATTTATTCATTTTATGGGTAGTCCCTTAAGCCCATACCAGGCTGACTTCCAAGGGAGACCAAGCAATGACAGGAGACATCCTGGTAATTACCTCATTGTCAGAGGTTCTATTTCCGGTTTGTCTGTGTGTTTGTCTGTGTTTCCATAGTTATTTCCACATGCTACGCACATCAGGGATACTGACAGGAAGTTAGGTCAAAGATCTTCGATTTCTTGCTACTAGTAATCTATATGGCAAGAATACTGTAGTGTAAATTTATTTACTTTAGAAGGGTGTTTTAAATTCACAACAGAAACAATTCTGTAGTCTTACAATAGACACATATCTGCTGTGTAATAAATTTGCAGTGAAGAGGTCATAGCAAAAAACCATGAAAATAAAACCAAGTTTCAAGCTTTACAGTATGTACATACCGACTATAGGGCCCACAGTAGCCCCCAGCTCCTGTAGCCTTTCACCAAGCTCCTTGTCAGACAACTGTGTCACGTCCATTTCTGGGGGCGCTGTCTTCTTTGCTGTCTTCTTCAACACCTGCACAAAACAGAAGGACACAACAACCTTATAGCTTAGCACATGTAATACACACATGTTTAAGGCGTGATGCTTTTCCTTTTAAGTTTTTATCCTGTCATTTCACAAAGACAACTATTTAATGTTGAAAATACCCTTGCAAAATGGTAAAAAAAAATGCAGTAGACTCTGATTTGGATTAGCACTCTGACAGGGGTACAGCTAGGATAATAATAACATTCAATACCACTACATTCATCATCTACAAGCTGGCACCAGTTTGAATGATGTAATGAGAATGTCAGGCCAAAAATAAATTCAGTGTCATATTCAAAGGCAGTCTTCAACTGATATGATGATTCATGATCATACTATCATATATTTTCCATGCAAGGGTGTTCAATTATTTTGTCCTATGAATTTTACGCCTATAAATTATTTATTGGCAATGCCCACAGACTTTTAACTGTCCCTCTCATATTACTGATTCCAAACATGATCTTTGGATAATTCATGTATGCCACAGTTTGGAACCTGACCCTCCCTCCAATCAAGTGGAACATCCCACAGAAGCCATGCATGGAATACAAATGAGGTCCCTTCATGAATTACATAATTTTATGGGTGAACAAAACTTCACATAATCAACATGACAGCTGCTCCACTTCTTAGAGACATATACACAGCAAAGCTGTACTACATTCCTAGAGGGAAAGGACAATTCTAGTAGACAGTTCTCACAAAGACAGGAGAACTGTATAACACAAATGCCCTGCCCTCCCACCCCTACCATACAACCTATGTCAGTTGTCTTCCCAATATTCAGACAGGTCGCTTCGAGTTTTAGTTCTAGCATAGCACATCAACCAAATCTAGCCAAATACACATATTCAAACCATACACAGAAGAAGCAACACTGCGCAAACTACGGACAAGGTACATATACTATAGACTTGCCATTTGAAGATGCAGTCCTTTGATCCACTTCTCTATAAACTGTAACCAGGTAACTCTAGCTTATAAATAATTCAGAAACTAGTTCTAAATTGTAAAGGTGACAAAATTCATACCTAAATCAAGGGTACAGTACAGAAACCAAGCAGGTCGCAGCTAGTTTGAGACGCCACAAAAAAGAATGACCTAAATTTTGGCTCCCTCTTTGTTTACGTCTACGGTTAAGTATGTCTTGGCAGTTAACCAAGGCCAGTCCTTATATGGAGATGCACCTATTATTCCAGGTAAGCAAACACACCTCCAGAAAGCTGAGAGGTACAGTACATTACATGGTGCCACAAAAGGCCGTTCCATTTCCATACATTGGGAGGGATGGAACGTAAAATTCTATATGGACCACCTCAAGCCCCTCTTTTACAACTTCAATCCCTTTCATTAAAAATTCCTGGCATATTTCCAAGACATTTTATTAGATAATTTCTTTCATTCATGCCAAGGTCTGGCCACCTTTTCTTGTCAATAATTCAAACGAGTCCAAGGGACAAGATCTCTTTCTTTTTAGTTACTCAACTTGCTGTGATCTTACAGATTTTACCAAATCTCTTTTTGATATATCATAATATTTTTCCAGTCCAACTTCTGATCATTTAAGGTTGTTAATTTTGTAGGAAAAATCCTAAGGTTTATACACAGAATATTCTTACCCACTGCTTCTGCGAATTTATAATGGTTTGACCCTCACTGGACAAAGGCCAGGAGAAAGAACATGCAAAATGGAGGGAAATTCAAACTTCTTCTGGTGACACATGTCTTGCACCTTACCAGTTATATATACCTACCTACCTGCGTAGATATAAAGTTGTCTAAACATCTGTGTATATAGTTGTATGTAGCATCTAAGACTTTTATCCCACCATAATTCCTAAACGAATACAGGTAATATCTCCTGCGTATTATTTACTTGTGTCTCCTTTACCAGGTGTGCTTTAAGACAAATCTGGTGTTAAGAAACCTGAAGCATTACCGAATTCCAGAAATTCTTCTGTCTCCAATGGAATACCAGCAAGCAAGACCACTCATAATATATGGCCAAACTCAATGATACAGAAACAATAGGCAAATACTGAAGATCAAATCTTACACTTCTCTGAAATACATAATTCTTCCACACATCTAGACCAAATTTGGCAACACTCCTAACCTAACAAATTGTGAGAACAAGTGTGAGATATGCTTGATTTAATTCAGAGAGCACCAGTAACTTTGTGTATACAAGGCCATTCCAGAGAAGACAAGAAAGATGGTTCATCGAATCTGAAGAATTTTTCTGCTGGCTCTGGACAACTTCTTTTCTGGACAGTCTGACAGATTATTTCAGATGGACAAGTGAAACAGTATGAAGAGCAGAAGGATTGCTAGTATAAAACACATCATGGCATACAATAAAACTGATCATTTATTTTATTCCATTATAGGAAGGTGGGTCATATCAATCATGTCCCCTCCATCAAATTGTGCAATGGAAAATCACCCTCTGACTGAACAGCTGGCTTGCAGATAACATACTGTAGGAAATCCTATTGTTGATACATCCTGTAGTTCTCAGTATACAAAGAAGACTCTTTTTTCTGTATTTTTCAAAATTCAAGAAAAAATAGTTTAGAAATCCATGTTTTTTTCTAAATGCTTAATCAAATCAAAATGATAAACATGGTGGCAATTGTTGAGTGTGTGACCCTTGATTTTCAAATTGGAATAAGATGCACCATACAATCAGGTGTGATTTAAAAGACAATATGACATTAAAAAAATCTATTTTATGAAATTTGTTGAACGACCTGTCAAATGTTTGGTTACTCAGTGATCAGTCAGTGGTCGCATCCTCTTATCTTGTGTGTGTGCGAGTTGTGGAAAGGATCCAAATCCACTGTATCTAGGACTTTATAATGGATTAGTGAATCTATCAATTTTATGTTCAGCTCCTATCTCAGCCCTGCAGAGGATGTCCCAGTGGGGCAGAGATAAAAGTGACCACAGTTCCTGATACATGACTTCCTACTGTGCACCACTGCTCATGTTACTGCCCTGGGGGATGGAGTACAGATCAGAGCTGGATTGAGCTAGCCTCTACCAGGCTTCAGAGGGAGGGAGAAAGAGTAGAAATTGGCCCAATAGTCAGATAACATCCAGGGGAGTCCACTAAAGGAGTACAGCGCCAACAGTCTATTTGGCCAATTTCTATTCTTTCCAGCCATGTACATTTTATATAATAATTTATCTACTCACTACAGTTTATCTAACAGCGAAAATAAATTCAGTCCAGTCCTTGACCTGAGTGTAACCACATGTTTTGCTTGAGGCTGTTGCCTGGGCTTCCTTGTTGTTTTAAGAAACAAATGACTTTCTAAGAGGCACAGGAATGAGATTCTAGATAAACATGCAATATGTTAATTTATTGACAGCTGTCCTTACAGCTGTGTTTCCTAAAAGTTCGGGCCTCTTTAAATCCTGATTAAAATTTTCTTGCAGCTCTAAAGGTTGAAATGAGGAATGTAATGTATAAAGTGTAAAGTATATGAGCAAAAGTTGGTAAAGGACATTAAGTACAATCCTAAGACTTTCTGGAGATACGTTAAGTCACGGTTGAGTACTAGACCTAAGATAGATACTCTGAAGAAACCTGATGGTAGCGTAGCACTCTCTGACTGTGACAAGGCAGAGGTACTAAACCAATTCTTTGCGAGTGTATTTACTGATGAGGACACAAGAAATGTGCCTAGTTTGAGTGCCAAACCAGGGATAGTACCGCTTAGTGACCTAGTTATCACAGAGGAGGCAGTTAGAGGGAAACTCGAGAACCTGAATCCATCGAAATCTGCTGGGCCTGATGGTCTCCACCCGAAAGTATTAAAAGAACTTGCTGGCCAGTTGGCCTATCCACTGGCAGTAATATTCAACAAATCACTAGATGCGGGGAAGTTGCCTTGCAACTGGAAGGAGGCTCATGTTACCCCTATACACAAGAAGGGCAGTAAAGCAACTATAGGCCAGTTAGTTTGACATCTGTTGTGGGGAAGGTCCTTGAATCAATCATCCGTGATGTCTTAGTGGACCATTTTATGGCAAACAAGTTATTCACGGATTCTCAGCATGGTTTCGTTCCAAACCGTTCGTGTACAACACAAATGCTAGTTGTCATGAACGACTGGTCCCAGAGTCTGGAGAGGGGGAAGCCAGTAGATTCTATTTATCTGGACTTCCAGAAGGCTTTTGATTCTGTTCCCCACCAACGATTGATAGTGAAGTTGATGACATATGGAATCAGTGGTAATCTACTCCTGTGGATGCAGGACTTTTTGGACCAGCGGAGACAGCGAGTTGTGATGAATGGTTCTAAGTCCTCATGGTGCAGAGTTAAAAGTGGAATCCCACAGGGGAGTGTCTTAGGACCCACATTGTTTGTAGTATACATCAATGATTTACCTGATGTGATTAAGAGCACTATCAAGATCTTCGCAG